AATAAATAAAATATTGAGTAATTAATGCAAAGTATTGAATAGACCATATGAATGAGATACTATGGATACAATATAGAAGCCCAACCTGTGATGAGACTGGAGACAATGAGCGGCAGCACCAGCATCTGCAGCATCCGCATCAGGAGCTCCCCGGGGAAGGAGAAGTACTTGATCTGCCGGTAGCTCATCCGGTACGGGCGCAAAGCCAGTGCCAGCGTCACACCTGCACCCAGGAGAAAGGGAAACCATCATTACAGTTGTGTCATGAAAAGGCCCTTCCCCACCAGACCTCAGTCTCTCTGTGGACAACAAGTGGAATGTGAGCCAAGAGTGTGGATGCAGCAGCTGGAAAGGCCAATGGGATTTTAGGCTGCATCCAAAGGAGTCTCGTGTCCAGATCGAGGGAAGAAGTCCTGGTGCCATTCTCTTCGACTTTGGTCAGACCTCTTGACCTGGAATAAGACTGTGTTCCATTCTGGGCAAAGCAGTTCAAGAGATAATAATGATGATGATGATGATGATAGCCTTATCCACTTGGAATAAAACTGTGTTCAATTCTAGACAGCACAATTTAAGAGAGTTAATAAACCGCTTTGAGTCCCCCTAAGGATGAGAAAAGCGGTATATAAATACTGTAAATAAATAACAAATTAATAATAATATCATCATCATCACCATCATCATAGTAGTAATAATAATGTAATCATATTATTTCTACTACTAGAAGTAATATGATTACTTACTACTATTACTACTACTACTAATTATTATTATTATTATTCAGCTGGAATAAGACTGCGTCCAATTTTGGACACCACAATTTAGGAGAGATAATGATGATGATATAATGATACTACTACTGCTAATGATAATAATAAAAATAATAGACTTATTCACCTGGAATATGATTTTGTTTAATTCTGGGCAGCACAATTTAAGATATGATGTTGATGATAATAATGATAATAATAATGCAATCACATTACTATTATTGTTATTGTTATTATTATTATTATTAATAATAATAATAATAATAATAATAATAATAATAATAATAATAATAATAATAATTTATTCAGCTGGAATAAGTCTGCATCCAATTATGGGCACCACAATTTAAGAGGAATGATGATGATGATATAATGATACTACTATTACTACTACTGCTACTACTACTACTACTAATAATAATAATAATAATAGACTTATCTACCTGGAATAAGACTGTGTTCAATTCTGGACAGTACAATTTAAGAAAGATGATGGTGATGATGATGATAATAATAATGTAATCATATTACTACTAATATTAATACTAATAATACTCTTATTCAGCTGGAATAAGACTGTGTCCAATTTTAGGCACCACAATTTAAGAGGGATGATGATGATGATATAATGATACTACTACTACTACTACTACTACTAATAATAATAATAATAATAATAATAATAATAATAATAATAGACTTATCCACCTGGAATAAGACTGTGTTCAGTTCAGGGCAGCACAATTTAAGAAAGATGATGATGATGATGATATGAGGATTTAAAGATCGAACTGCAAAGACTCTGGCATAAACCAGTCAAGGTGGTCCCAGTGGTGATCAGCACACTGGGTGCAGTGCCTAAAGACCTTGGCCTGCACTTA